AACACTTAAAAGTCTGAGTAGAAATCATTTATGAGGACAAAAGCAGAATACTGCCAGTGCCATACAATGGAAGTATAGGAGCAGCATTCACATTTGCATAAGTATTGCAGAGAATGTGTAAAGACAGGGATTCTGCTCCATTGGAGATGGACAATTTCTCTATTAAAGTAGCTGAAAGGGGAAAAATGGTCTAAAATATAAAATGTAACATGGATGCTATGTTGTAAACTGTGCCAAAATTACTCAAATTGTAGTTAATGATCAAAGTTTAACTGGTTTATCATTTTTATTTTAAAAGAGGATACCGAATGTCTGAAAATCTGTAATGTGTTCTGAGAGATGTAAATAATGTATACAGACTTGTACGTGATGGGATGGGGAGAAGTATTTAAATTTAGGTTTTTTTTAAAGGGAGAAACTGTTTATTACAAAAATTAATAAATAGTTATGTTTGGCCATGAATTCTGACTTTGCATTACTTTTTTTTTTTTTTTTTTTTGCTATAGATATTCCCACACTGAACACATTCCTAGGGAAATATTGAGGATATTTGGAATATGTTGAACATTTAAAATTTGTTAGGCATTATTTTTTAATAATGTTTACAACAACCCTGGAAGTTTGTATTTTAGACTTACATACCAGAAAACTAAAGCTCAGAAATTGTATAAGTTACTGATTAGGACTAGGGTTTAAAAACCTAAATATGGGCCTAGCCAAGTAGCTCAGTTGATTAGAGAGTTGTCTTGATACATCAAGGTTGTGGGTTTGATCTCAGGGCACATACAAGAATCAACCAGTGAATGCATAAGTAAGAGGAACAGCAAATTGATGTTTCTGTCTCTATCTTTCCCCTCTTCTTTCTAAAATCAATCAAAATAAATAAAAATCCAAATATGCTTTGACCTCGAAGTCAATGCTTTTGGTATTTAAATATAGAGTAGTCCCCTCTTATCTTCATGTTGTACCTGTGGTTAACTGTGGTCTGAAAAATATTAAAGGGAAAATTTCAGAAATAAACAATTCATAAGTTTTAAATTGCACACTATTTCATCATGAGCAGCATGATGAAATCTTGTGCCGTCTCACTTGGTCCTGCTCCGTCCTGCTCCGTCCTGCCCCATCCTGCCTGGGACGTGTGTGAATCACCCCTTGGTCCAGTGTATACACCCATTAGTCAACTATGGAGGTATTGCAGTGCTTATGTTCAAAGTAATCCTTATTTTACTTACTAATGGCCCCAAAGTGCAAGAGTAGTGATGCTGACAGTTCCAGAATGCCAAAGAGAAGCTGTAAAGCTTACGTATAAGAAAAAACAATATATATATAGGGTTAGGTACAATGCACGTTTTCAGGGATTGATGGGTCTTGGACCATATCTCCTGTGGATGAGGTAGGACTATAGTACTGTAATTATGAGAACAGTTGGCAAAATATTTAATTATTTTTTATCTATCAAGCTAAGATTTTATCAAATTTTGTTTTCATTATAGACCATTAAAGAATGAAGAGTATTAGAGAATCTTCATTTTATCCTGATACCCTAAGTTCTAAAAGCAAATGTGTATTTTAGATTATTCCCAGAGTATCATTATTTTAGAGGTTTTTATGTTTTGAAGCATTTGTGTTTGGACCATCATGTTGAAAATAGTTTGATGGTAGTAGCCACAGTTGTCCAATGTCACTAGTTAATATTTGAGCAAAAGACTAGGAAAAGAAAATGCTAGTGCACACTGATGTGGACTGTCTACATGTTATAATAAAAACACCTTGTTATTCTACACATGCACTATGTACAAAACATCGACTGTGTGTAAAAGACTCATAAAATTAACTATTTTGATAGTTTGGTTCATTTGTAGTAAATTTAAATATGTATTGAATGATGCGTTTTGTTAACAAATGTAAATATTTCTTTAAGGCTCAACCATGTTTAATACATGTTTAACACTTCTTGTTTTCAACAAGACAGTGTTTTTTATATATGTATTTATTATTATTATCTAAGTTTACCTTTACAAGCATGTTGTAAAATATAGCTTCTTTTCCTAAGGAGCTATGTAGAGCTGGTGGCTGGCTACTATGCTCTGCTAGTATGTTATTTTGCTATCACTCTTCAGATTTGCTCGAAGTACTTCAACTCTCCATTCTTGTTTTTATGATAGTTTCTACATCCTTCTGTTTTCTAGGCAATAATAAAGGTTGCAAGGAGACATTTATAACCAGGCTTATTAGGTTGAAAAACATAATTTTACAGAAGTTGAGTTGGTGTACACAAATGCATGGGTTGTGTAACCACTACTTATCAATGTTCATGGTTCCTTTTTTCCCTTTGTTCTCATTTTTTTTAGTTGGATTAGAGGTTTCTTAATAAACTTGTACGTGATCAGTCAGGACCCTGTCTCATTCAACCAGCATTCCCACAGGAGAAAAGGAATTCCTAAACTGAAGGACTTTCTGGCAAAGAAGCATTAAGATAGCATGCTCACAACTGGCTGGATATTCCAATCCCTTGTCTTTAGTCTGCAGTTCCAAAAATCTGAAAAGCTTGGATAACAAAGTATTTTCTTGATTCAGCACAAGCTTAACCTGATATGAGGTTAACAGTCTTTATCTCAGTGTGAAAACTCTTAAGATTGACTGCCAAATATTAGTGTATTTAACACTTCTAGAGGAGGGTTAGGTAGGGTGACATGATATGTATAACATATGACTGTATTTATTTTCTAAGGTCCAAACACTTTTGAATTCTGAAAGAGATCTGTGTATACTGCTTTCAGATAAGGGATTTTGGACAAAAATCAAGAAGGTACTTTTAAAAGTGCTCTTCTCTGGTCTCTTCCTTGTGTTATGTAGGAAAATGGAAAATTATGCTGAACTTGGTGTTGAGAGCTAGGTTCTCTATTTCCCCCATTTACTTTGTATTTTTAAGGTACACTCTTAAGCTTGGAGGAATGCAACTTCTTATATCCAGAAATGGCAGAGCTGGATTTGAAAGCAGTCTCTTTAATTTTTCAGTGCTTAAACTGTTACTCGCTATACTTCTTTTGTGTGCGTATGTGTGTTTGTGTGTGTGGAAACCACACTTGGGGATTTCTAATTCCCAGCCTCAGATGTCTTTAACATGTCTGAAAGGGACTTCTTCAGTTCCCCTTACCTTCTGTTTGAAGGTCTCAGAGATTCATCCTGCTTTACTACTTTCTCAGTAGCTACCAATACCCTTATTTCATGGATTTCCCCTGCAAGCTTAGGTGTGGAATAAAACCGAGTAACTTCTCCAGCTTCCTTGCCATCCTTAGTGGCAAGCATTCAGGCCTCTTTCATTTCAACAATCCTGCTGCTAATCACTACAGAAACAAAAGTAATATACATAAAGTAATAGCGTAACAAAATAATATAGGGAAATTACAAAGAATAATTTTTGCTGCTTTATTCCAGAGTTCCCCATGGAGTCATACTTTGATTTCTGCTCTTTATTTCTGAGAATGAGTCACCATTTACCCACCTTTTTCTGAACTCCACCTTTAGATGCATTTTAGATTTGATGATAGTTGCAAAGTAAAGAAATGATAGAGCCTTTGGTTTCTGTAGATTATTTGAACTCAGTGACTACTAGACTGAGTAGTGTCTGCTTTATTTTTTTTTGTTTTTTGTTTTTACCATGTTAAAAATAAGTTCCTCTGGGCATTTTTACACTATTTATGCGCAACTGAGTGTTCTTGCAGACTACATGGCACATGAGTAGACATTCAAAAATTCAACATAAATACATGTTTGTTAGTTTTGTGCCAGGTATAAGGCATTCAAAGTTAAATAAGTTACAGTCTTAACAGAAAAATACCCAGTGTGTTAACTTCTACATAGCATGGTAGGGGTAGGAATTTTTCCTTATTTCCTCCTATGTTTTTAGGCTTGTCTAATAAATTGACATAAAAGAATAATAGGAGAAAAACAAATTTTACTTTGTATGCAAGCCCCATAAAAATATGAGACTTGAGTGAAAGCAGGAAGCTTTTTATCTTTTAAACAAATAATAAATTTGTGAAGAGTTGACAAGGCAAAGGACTTGGGCTTGGTAGTAAATTGCTGAAGTAGCAGCCAGGTTTATTTATACAACCTGCTGTGCCCTAAATTTTCTGTCTCTGGTAATAAGGATATCCCTGGTGCAGGCAAGGGTACATTTCACATGAGAGATTTAGCTTCTTTCAGTGGGGGGCAAAGGAGGGACAGCATGTCCTTGTGATGGCTATTCAAAATCATCAATATGCCAGTGTGTACTTTGGGTTGGCATATTTTGCTTCCCTTTAGGATAATCAGACATACAAATCCAAATGAAGGGGGGCGTATGAGACATCAGGACAGGCTTTCTGTGGGGTGGCACCTGACTACCTAAATTCTCCCCCAGTTCCCTGCACTGGACTGCTAGTTAATTCATGAAAAGAGCTGGAAAAAGCGCCCGGTTGGGTTGCCTAGCAGCACCTAGCCTGATGGTCTTCCTCCAGGCTGAGAACATAGGGTAATCTGTTTGATTTTTCTATTACACATTGCTTCTCCTCTGATAAGTTCAAAGTTTCAAGTCCAACCAATTCTGCACAGACGCTGCTCATTTCCACAAGATCCACTGGAGGGGCAAGGTCTCCAAAGCCAAGCCTAGCCCAGCCCAGCCCACTCCAGGTGACGCGAGCAGGCGACACCCTCTGCCCTCAGGTGCCCTCAAGCACCGTGTGGCCTCCCGCGCTCTCCGACCTCAGGCGTCTGCTCTCGGTTGGGGCTACCGCTCAGGAATTACCCTCCCTTTTCCCCAGGCCCTGGCGTCCCCGGAAGAAGCGCGTCATCGCGCGTGGCCCCGCCCTCCGCTCTCGCGTGACCCTATTCGCAGGGCGCCGCGGCCCGGCGCCTGCCTCGGCGGGAGCTGGCCAAGGGGACTGAGGGGGTATCACAAATTGCAGAGAAGGAGGGGCTTGGTTTCTCCGCTGGGAGGGTGGCCCGGCAGCGGGTCCGCCTCCGTCTGCAGCTGCCAAGGCGCGCCAAAATCAAATTCTCGGCGCGCCGGCGGGACAGCCTACGACGAGCCGGGCTCCCGCCTGCAGGTCGGCGGCTGAGGCGGCAGCGGCGCAAGCACCTGAGGCCACTTCTCAATACTCCCTGCCTTACGCGCTCGGGCCGCCACTAGACGAGGAATGGCCACTCCACCCAAGAGAAGCTGCCCGTCTCCCGCGACCAGCTCTGAGGGAACCCGCATCAAGAAAATCTCCATCGAAGGGAACATCGGTAAGGAGCCCCGAGGAATGTAGGGTCCACCGAAGGGATTGTCACGGCGGCGGCGAAGCGCCCGTTGGCTGCATCTCTGGTGCTCCTCCGTGAGAACTTTCCTCCCGGTCGGGCTGTGCAGACGCGGCCGCGGAGTGGAAATCTTCTCTGCCCTCCCCTGCCTCCCTCGATTGCTCCCAAGGGTGGCAGCGGCCGCCTGGGCGTCAGGCCCGCCGATACCAGCGGGACTGTGAGGAGCGTTTTGGCCTGGTTTCTTCCTCTTTGTTGAGATCCCGCAAAGGGAAACTTCTTTGGGGGGTGGGGAGGAATTGTCAGTTCTTGGGGTGTATTTTACGTACGTTGCCTCCCCTTTTTAAATGTACTATTTTATGAGGCTTGACAAACATACTGTCATTTTACTAACATCGCGATCAAGATTGAGAACATTCCATCACCTAAAAAAGTTCCCTGGTCCTCCTTTGTAGTCAGTCAGCCCCCTCTCTCTTCCTATCCTTTGGCAACGATCACTGATCTGATTTCTATCCCTGTAAGTTTTGCCTTTTCCAGAAATGGCCATATAAACAGAATCATAGTGTGTATACCCTTTTGTGTTTTGCGTCTTTAGTTTAGCGTAATGTTTTCAGATTCACTCGTGTTGCTTTTTTTGGTAGTTCTTTTTTATTGCTGAATAGTATTCCATTGCGTGGTTATACCACAGTTTATCTCTTTCCTATTTGTGGATACTTGATTGTTTCCAGTTTTAGTGATTATGAATAAAACTCCTTTAAACATTTGAGTACAAGGAAGGAGGTTTTTAATTATCTTAACGGAATGGAGTTCCTCATTGCCTGCCATACATCCAAATAAACACTGGGTTATGATTCAAAGACTTACTATTTCTGTTTTTTCCCCAAATGGGGACTGACACCATCAATAATGCATTTTTGCAAGATGCATCTGAGCTTCTGTTTCTTACATGTTTCCCACCACAGGAAACCTATGCTGGACATTTCCTGTTTTGAAGGAATTTTTGGTCTCTAAGTTAGGTACTAGCTATTCATGCATATGGCAAATGTTTTTTAATTCTTATTACATTCAAAGCACTTGGACTTTTAAAAAGTAAGGCAAGCAGATGCTTTAGCAGCATTCCAAGGAATAGAAAAAAGCTGAACATACCCTCAAAGAGAACTCTTCTTTCATTGGTCCATTATCAAGGCACCAGTGGAAAAGATCCATATACAGTTGGATCAACATGCATTTGAACTGCGTAGGTCCACTTATATCTGAATTAAAAAAAAACTGATTTGTAGAGAGAGAGAGAAACATCAATTTGTTGTTCCACTTATTTATGTACTCATTGGTTGCTTCTTTGTATGTGTCCTGACCAGGAAATTGAACCCTCAGCCTTGGCATATCCGGATGATTCTAACCAACTGAGCTACCCAGCCAGGGCTATATGCGGGTTTTTATCCCCAATAAATACCTGTGCTGTTTTACCATCTGTGGTTGGGAGTCTGGATGCCAAGGGCTGACTGTATGCATTGATCTATGTATGACCTTTTATATAGGGGACTTGAGCATCTACACATTATGGTATCTGTGGGATCCTGGAAGTAATTCCCCTTGGATACCAAGGATGACTTAAGTTTTTTGGGGAGTCAAAAGCTATATGCAGATTTTTCCACCGAGGAGAGAGTGAGTGCCCTTAACCCCCATGTTGTTCAAGGGTAAACGGTGTATATAGGGTTTGAATGCCACAGTTTCAATCATTCGTAGGGGGCATCTTGGAAGTACCCCCTATGGATAAGGGAAGACAACTGTAATTGTCATTCCCTGCTTCAAATTCTTCTCTGACTTCTTTACCTACACTGGAAGGAGTTGCAAGCTGATAGCCTGTATTTGTACAATATTGGAGTGCACAGATGTGAAAAAAATACTTCAGTTGCTAACATTAAATTTTTCGATTTCCCATAGGTCTAGATTCTTGACTTTTCTTGAAAAATCTGAATATCTGGTAACACTGAGCTCACGTTTCTGTAAGACAGCAATTTGATATTCAGATGGGCTGTGTTCCTCGCCACTCACTGTATTGTCTTTCCTGACACTGAAGTTTTGCCAGTTGCTGTTTGTTATTGTTCTTGCACTGTTGTTCTTGTCCCTTCCAATTTGTCAGACCCAAATAAGCTATAAATGTACAAATTGCTAATCTGTGTGGAGAAAACTATTTTGTGATTCTTCTTTTTCTCCTAGAATTTGAAACTTAACTGGTCATTTTAGTTTTATACTCATATGCCTCATCTTCTCATGTTTTCTATTACTGAAATACTCTCTTATGTTCAATTTATGGATACCTTACCTGTTTCTTCTCATCTTAATAATCTGTATAGAATAACTTTTGGCAACATAATGTCTGCTTGGCATTAATATGCTAGGTCCCATGACTTTTTAAAGTATCAACATTAGTGTCCTTGGTTCTTGCTCTTCTTTGTCTTCATAGAATATTAATTTGTTAGCTTATTTTCCAGCTTCCTTCCCTGCAAAGTCAATGAATTGGGTATTAGTCCAATTGGGAACTACAAGTAATTATTGTTTGAATTAAATGTAACTTTTATTACTCTTAAAATTTTAAAGTATGACAACATAAACTTTTCTGTTCATTGGCAGGGTTGGAAGAAAGCTGAATTCTAGCCTAGATGCTTTCAGGCTCTAGCTGACTGATGCCTGATTTTTTACTGTATTCCTTGGGTGTTTTTTCTGAACATCATTGTTTTTCTTTCCATCTTTATCTAGCTCAGTGAATATCTGATGAGCATTCTATTTCGTTTCCACTTACTCTTCTAAATGCCTTACAATCCCTGTGCTCACTCTTTCCACACAAAATCTGTGTGGTCACCAGTGTTTTTCCCATCATTAGATCTAATAGTCATTTAATTTGTCTTTAAAAGTTTTTCTCCTCAGCTTTTCTCTATGTGTTACCTTCTTATTGACCCTCTTCTTTTTTTCCCTCTGTGTGTGCTCTTTAAAATTTTTCCAGTTCTTTTTTGCTGTTGCTCTATTTAATGTCCTAAGTTTGAATATAGTTTTGTAAGTCAAAGATGAGTTCTTTTTTGCTCTTTTTGGATCCAGTTCATAGGAAGAGGAGGCTTTTCTTATAAGTGTTCTGAAGTTGTTTTTTATTTGCTTATCTGTGTGTATGCATACATATATGTGTATATGTGTATATGTATTACATTACATTACTTTATATTATAAATATAAAATTTATATTAAAATTTACACATAGAGAGAGAAACATACATTTTGCAGATATGTCTAATATAAACTCATATGGTGACTTCAGATAGGAGGGGTGTGGTGGTCATTAGGAGTACTGCTACACTCTGTGAAATTCTAGATCAAGACTTTTTCTACTATTAAAGGGAATGTGTTCCTGGGAAATTTAAAATAATGAATATAATATGTTCTGATTACACCTGATTATCCCCCTACCCCCAATATCTCAGAAACGAGTAAGTAATCAGATGACTTTTTTAAAACATTGGATAAAGTACGCACTGCACAGACCATGAAAGTGAAGCAGAGAAAACATGGTTGAAGGAAGTACTTTGCAAAAATGTTTTTATAATTTATTATAACCATAATGTTATATAATAATTACTGTCATATAATAATACACTATTTTCCATTCTAAAACTTTAGCAATTAGATGCAACTTTATATTCATTTTATAGTTTATTTGGTTGTTTCTAAATTAGTTTTAGATTGGAAAGACCTGAGTTTGTTCGTAAACTGAGAGAATGGAGCTAATAGAGAAGAAAATTTTGAAAATGTGAGAGCCTAGAAAATTTTGAAAATGTGAGAGTCTAGAAACTGTAGTGACAGTTTACTTGCTTATCACAGCACTTTCCATTAGGAGGGTATTATTATAGCTATTGTATTATGGGGGAACAGGCTCAGAGAGGTTCAGTGGCTTATCTAAAATCACATACCTAATTAATCACACCTCACAAAGGTTATCATTTGCTCATTGCTTGGTTAAGGAAACTTAGTCTAGGATGTGATTCTTTTTTGCTGTAATGTCTTGCCTAAAGTCTCACTGGGTCTTTAATTCTTTTCTTCCATAGTATTGGTAAACTAAAAACAGTAACAAATGGGCCCTGGCTGGGTAGCTCAGTTGGTTAGAAAAAATAGTGAAAAAAAACATTCCCTAATTTGGTGAAGGAAATAGACATGCAAGTCCAGGAAGCACAAAGAGTCCTAAACAAGATGGATGCAAAGAGGACCACACCAAGACACATAATTAAAAGGGCAAAGGCTAAAGATAAAGAGAGACTCTTAAAAACAGCAAGAGAAAAGAAGTTAGTCACCTACAGGGGACTGCCCATAAGACTGTCTGCTGATTTCTCAAAAGAAACTTTGCAGGCAAGAAGGGATTGGCAAGAAATAATTGAGTCATGAAAAGCAGAGACATGAAGTCAAGATTGCTTTATCCAGCAAAGCTGTCATTTAGAATCGAAGGTCAGATAAAGAGCTTCCCAGACAAGAAAAAACTAAAGGAGTCCATCATCACCAGAACATGATTATATGAAATGTTAAAGGGACTTATTTAAGAAAAGGAAGATTAAAACTATGAACAATAATGTGGCACACAAAAAAGAAATGCATATCTATCAACAATTGAACCTTAAAAACAAAGTAAACAAGAACAGAGACAGAATCATGGAAATGGAGAACGTTTTGCTGTTTGCAGATGGGAGGTGGGTGAGGGAGAATGGGTGAAGAGATGAGGGGATTAAGAAATACAAATAGGTAGTTACAGAATAGCCATGGGGATGTGCAGTACACTATAGGAAATGGAGTAACCAAAGAACTTACACACATGACCCATGGACATGAACAATGCTTGGAGGATTGCCTGAGGTGGGGGGTGTTAGGTGGAGGGGGGCAAAGTGGGAAAAATCAAGACAACTGTAACAGCATAATCAATAAAATACAATTTTAAAAATATGACACAAGATTAAATCAAGCACAAGAGAAAATGATGCAATCAAAAGACATGGTAACCATGAGATGTATGAGGTTAATGGCACACAGTTTTACAGTGAACTTTATTTTTTTTAAATAAATAGACACAACTCTAAAAATAAAAGTTATATATAGTAAATATATAAACTAGTAACAATCATTTATTATCATTATCAAGTATTATGTACTGCACATATTTGTATGTGCTATACTTTTGTACAACTGGCAGTGCAGTAGGTTTGTTCACACCAGCATGACCACAAACATGTGGGTACTGCATTGTGCTAAGACATTCAGGACATCTATGTGTCTCTAAGTGATAGGAATTTTTCAGCTCCATTGTAATCTTTATGGAACCACCAGAGTATATGGGGTTCAGCGTTGACCGAAATGTTAATGCTGCATATAACTTCAAATTTTGAAAAGCTGATGACTACTTTGGCTTTTTTTTCCTTGCTAAGTGTTCTTCCTCATCTTTACTTTTCTCTCACGATAGCTTCAGGAAAGACAACATTTGTGAATATCCTTAAACAAGTCTGCGAGGATTGGGAAGTGGTTCCTGAACCTGTTGCGAGATGGTGCAATGTTCATAGCACTCAAGATGAATTTCAGGTATGAAAATAAAATTTAACTAAATAAAATAAAACCTTTTTGGTTTAGAGAAGCAGTAGTATTTAATCTCTTGAGTTTTTGCTTGTTTTTTTCTTTCCCCAATAAAACTTTGAAATCTAGCTTTAAGTCTCTGTGTTCATCTGGGCAGTAGTTACAGGGATGTTTATCTATGTAAACAATGAACTATATGCACCTAAGATTTATGCACTTTATTGTACTTAAGTAAAATTTTAAGTTTTCAAAAATTAATGAAAAAGTTAAAAAAAATCTAATTGCAGGTTAAATTCCTTGAGTGGCTTTTTACATTTTAAAAAACCCAAATAAACAAGAAAAACAAAAACAGCTACCCAATAACTGAATTTTACTAGTTTTTCCTTCAAGTCTTTTGTCTTAAAGAGAATCATTTATCTCCCATTTCTTTGTACTGTCATTTTTGCCAGATTTTCATCCTGGGCACAAGTTTCAATTTCCTAGCATTTTTCATCCTATGTTGTGAATGAGAAAGTGGGAATAACAGTTAAATTTTATTTTTTATCACAAAATTTTGTATGTGTATGAAAGGAATGCTGTCTAGTTGTTAAGGTTTTTATTTCTGAAGAAATGAGAATCAAAACTGAAAGCAGCATAGCTGTATTGCAGAAACCTTCAAAATTGAAATGTGTGCTAGAAACTTTGTTAGAGCTGAGGAGGACAGGATTGAAAAAAGTCTGTTTTAGAGTTTAGCTGTTGGTATGAGGAGTCTGGAAATAATAATTGAGTATTAAAAGTGTAAATTATGTATACTAGCAAAATAATCTGTAAACTTTGAGGATATATAGTTTTGAATAACCAGAAATATTTTCTCACATACCTGCTTGCCAAGCATAGTTAACTTTAGGTCTGGGGCCCATCTCTGTATACCCCAGTCCTTAGAATATTCAGGACTAAAGCTTAAAGGGACTTCTTTTCTATATGGACTGCATTTTCTTAAGAAATTGATATTTCCATTGGGGAAACTCACGGTTAGCCTTAAGTAGAAATTTTTTTTTTTAAGATACAAATATACTTTTATTAAATAACTTTACAACAATTGCTTATAAGGCTAGTTCTAAAAATGTAATCTTTCTTTGTGCCCCCCCTTTGATAAATACACAGCTTGTTATAGAAATAATGCTGAACCACTTTCCCTCACACCATATCCAAAAAAAAAAAAGAAAAGATGGTTGTTTCATTCCCAGTTTTTACCAAATTGTTCCCTAATTCTTATGCCACCATATATATACTTTAAATCTCCAGCCAAAGACCTGTTGGAAAAAAACAATAATTTGTAAACTCCATTTACATACTATCTTGAGAGGAGAGCAATCAGAAGTTTAAAATGGGTAAATTTATTTGCATCTTTCAATACTTTTTATTGACATACAACTCTAGAAAAGTATATGAAACCTATGTACAGTTTAAAAAACAATTTTAATCTTTGTAGCCATCATCCAGGTCAAGAAGGAGAATATCACTCTCCTTCTAGAAATCTTTCTCAGGTTACAATATTTCATTCCCTAGGGTCACAACTAATAAAATAACTCTTGTGATGATAATTTTCCTGCTTTCTAAAAGTAATTTGACCTTATATGAGCATATCTCTAAGAATTATAACTTAATTTTATCTGTTTTTGAGTGTTATATAAATGAAATCAACTGTATCTTTTGCTTGATAAGTTTATGAAAATTGCCCATGTTGCCTGCAGTTATAGCTTGCTCATTTTCTTTGCTGTATAGTATTCAATTGTATTCTCATGTCACTATTTGTCCATTCTATACCTGTGATTAGTCTTTTAGTGGTTTCTAGCTTAGTTGCTGTAAAAAGAGCTCTGTTGTGAACGTGAATCCTGGTGTACACATGCAAGATTTTTCTCTAGGAAAAAAGTAAAATTATTGGGTTGTGGGGTATATGTATGATGCCCATTTTCCAAAGTGCTTTTACCAGTTTACATTCCCTACAGTGTACTCCAGTTGTTATTACTACATGTCTTTGCCAATATTTAGTATTGTTCAGCTTCCTCATTTATGTCATTCTGCTGAATGTTTAATATTTTTTATGTTTGTAATTTGTATGTCCCTGATGGCTAATGAGATTGAGCTCCTTTAAATTAATTAATTAATTAATACATATTTTTTTTTGTATTTCTATTGTGAAGTTCCTGTTTAGTCCTTCTGCCCATTTTCCTTTGGGTCTTATATCTTCCCCACCCTGCATTTTTTACCTCCCAAAGTGTGTCTCATGGCCTCTTTCACTGAAGTGCCCTACTGAAGTTTGCTTACCTTTAGAAATGGGAGATGTATGCTCTAAAAATACCTGTTTCATTTTGTTAACCAGTGTCACCCCACTAAATTCAATAACAAAGAAATAAAATAAAATAAAAATCTCTATCTCTCTTTCCTCCCACCCCATCCTCCATCATCTCATTAGTAGAATGTAGCCAAACTGAACTAATTTCAGAAATAGAGAAGGAATCCCCACTAAATTCAATAACAAAGAAATAAAATAAAATAAAAATCTCTATCTCTCTTTCCTCCCACCCCATGTCTGGCATCAGCCATCAGTGTAGTTATTCTCAGGTGTTAGGTAGAATGTAGCCAAACTGAACTAATTTCAGAAATAGAGAAGGAATTCTTTCATTGGGGCGGTGTTAGACTGGATTGGATTAGGTAGCATCCATTTAAGGTCCATTCTAGTCTTAGTATTATAAAATTCTAACTCATGTTAAATATGTATGACTGATTTGTTGACACATTAAATATTCTGCCTCTCAATATACATCACATTAACCAAGGGCACAGAAACTGATACATAAAAACCAAAATTTTAATTTGCAGAGAGAAGTAAGTAATTATCAGGTTCATTGAATTAGGTCAATCCATTTTCATGGTAGGCCCACAATTCCCAACTAGTAGAACGAACTCTTAAGAATCTCAAGGATTTGAGGTACTTTTTAAAATAAACAGTTCCTTGGGAAATTTAAATATGTCGTTGCTTCCTGGTTAAAAATGACTGCCCTAGTGAATCACTGTTAGTGTAGGGAGTATATTGAACCCTTTAGTTAATATTGGAGAGGAGAGGTTGAAAACATTGTGTTAATATACATGGGAAGATCATTTATAATAAGGTTGTCCGTTAAGCTTAGATTCAGCCCAGGGAATTAATTATATTATCTTAATGACTGATGTAATCACACTGTGACACATTGATGCACCTGTCTCCATTTTGAGACTCTTGGCTTCATGGGTGTGATACTCATGTCTATGAGATGGGATATTTTCTTCGTATGTACTATAGTCAAAATTCCAAACTGACCACTCTTTAAAACTACCATGGAGATGCTCTTATTATTAACATATACTTTTATCAGACATTTTACTATAACCCACTCATATCTCCACGATGTTACAATTTACTTACCTTCATTGGATTTTGGTGCACATTCTCTGAGGGTAGCTTTATTTCTATGTGCCTATTGAGGGCTACTATGTTGCTAGTCCTCTGTACTTCTAGGTGGAATTTCAGACTCTGTGAATGGTGCAGGGTGGCACATGGGGAAGCCAAGGGAAGTCTCTACCTGATCTAGTTTCTTGTCATGGAACAAGAGAGGATTCAAGAGAATGACAGAAGGATTTAGCAAAGCACAGTAAATTTGTTAAAGTAATAGCATGCACTGGAGAAGGGAGAGCAGGCAACCTTGGAGAATGAGATACCCTGGTAGGGTGTGATTTGAAGGTTTTTTAAATGTGGGTAGAGGCTAGGAAGGAATAGGGTGGTCCTCTGCTTCCGACTCTGGTTTGATGACTGCCACTGGGGCTTATTCTTGTCTCTCCCCTTCAGATAGTGACTTCTTTTTGGTCTTCCCGATTATAGGAAACTGGGGAGGGGGTAGCAGGGAACAGGTGGTCAGTGAAGGTAGTGTCAGTGATGTTCCAGCCAAGATGGAGATGGGGAGGGGTAGAGCTTGAGGATTTTGTTCCCTATTCTAACTTTCCTGCCTCATGAGGACAATATTTTGGGGTACAGGGTTGTGGAGTATGAGGGTGATGGTGGGTGGGTGGATTCTCAGTATCTATACTTTTTTTCCCCTGGATCTCCAGTAACTAAAGAAATCGAATTTTCTTTTTTCATCCTGGATTCCTTCTTCAGACCCAGCCCTGATGTAGTATTTGGGGTTTAGTGTGAATCACCCACTGTCTGAATTTCAGCTTTTTAAAAATATTGACAGTAATGAAAAGTACACTGTCTTTAGACCCAGCCCTTGCAAGGCCAACTTTGGATGTTTTCCATTAAATCACACTTTTTGGCAGTTGGTGTAGAATTGGAAGAGTTGGGCTATTAGTACTTTTGATGTATTCCTCTAGTCAATAACTAAATTTGCACCTGCATGTTTAACTTGGGTTTTTTTTTAAGCTGTTTAATCTGCCACCTAGTGGCTGTAATGTTACTATCCTGTTGATAAGTTAACTGCAGATATTAGCAAAACAGTAAGCCTAAGTGCCTAAAAAGATGTATCTCCCGCCCTTCTCTTCCCCTGTTAAGATTATCTTTAAAACATACCATCCAGATGATTATCAATCTTTGTATTGAAGGTTTCTTTCAAATAACAATGTTCTTTATATGGTGATTTATGTTTTTAGCCCAAAGCTTTGATTTGATTGTTTTCTTTTAGTTTCTTTTTGAGATATGACGGTTAGAGAGCTATCTCTGCTCTGTCCTGTTTTCTCATTGAGCTGAATTCTTTTGGGGATCTTTGTTATTAATCATGAAATACTATTTTACTTTTTGTCCAGCACTTCTTACCACTAAGAAGCCACTGAAAAATTAGTAACTAGAGAAAGAAGGGATAAAATATACTCATCTTTGAAAAACAGCATACTTTTAATAAGTCATTCTTAGAAATTAATTAAAAATTATTGGTAAAGTACTTTCATTTGTACCTTCTGAAATCACCTAGTAAATTTTTTTTTTAAAAGATTTTTAA